AAAAAGCTTTTTTCACACACCACCACCCCCCAACAAAAAAACAAAACAAAACAAAACAAACAAAAGCCAAACAAAACAACCCCCCACCAAATCAAGGTTCTATTTCCCCATTTACAGCTGCAGAAATGGCTGTTTAATTCTGAAATTTAACACAACACTTTTCCAAGCAAAAAACCTCCCAAGCAAAAACACTTTCCAAGATTTACCTTGACCAGTTTGTACTTCAGGGCAAACAACTGAGCTTTTACAACACAAAGCTGTAAAATTAAGGATACCTAGGAGGATAATATTTAGAACTGAGCTCATCACAGACAAAAATAAAGGACTGTGAAACCGACTGATCATGTCCGGATCTGCAGTACCTGCACAATGTGCACTGCTCCAGGAGAACATTGATAGCTGAATTCAAAGTTACCTTGAGAAGAACCAGCTTATTCTAACACACTACGATGCAGGAAAGTAAATATTACTGCATCTCAGAGCACTATCACTTAAAACACCACAAAATCGCCCTGATTGAGCCCAGTAAAGAGAAGGAAAGATGGGACATTGGTGACAACTTGTATGTTTACTTCAGCAAGAAGAACCCACAGAATACTGAGTAACTATGCAGCAAAGCTTCCATAGCTGCCTTATCTTGGTCAAAATGAGAATAGTATTTGGAGTACAGAAAATGAAATTACCCACTTAGCATTAAAATATTAAAAATTGCATACTTGGGCAATTTAAAGAGGAAAAAAGTTAAATCTACAAGGAACACTACTAAGTAAATTCTGCAAATAGTTTCATGGCATAACTGAAAGATACAGCCCAAGTGTGACCCAGGAATGTTTCTCAGAGATCTGTCTCTAGAATAATGTCAAAAAAACCCCACTATACCTTAAGGATCCATAAATACTTGGGTAAAACAACCACAAACAAACAAAATCCCTCCACAACAAAAAAACAACCCAAAGCAACAAAAAACCCAGCACTATGTTAACACTTTAGCATTTATTAACACATGTGCAATGCAGATCATTTAAGCAATATTTAGGGTGATTACACCTGGATAGTTTTGCAAGTTGAAAAAAACTTAACATTTAGGATTTCTAGGTTTTCATTTTTGTTTGATTTTACTTATGCCTTAGATAGAATTTCACACAGTGGTTACATAACTCTGCTGATCTCAGTTTTACTTTGTCTCAGACCCACTATGCTGCATAATTACCAACACATTTCTACAAGGCGCAGAGTTTCTTTCCATATCATAGAAAAGGTTTTGTTTCTATGGCTATGAAGGTATTGTTTTCTTCCCCAGAAAGGCCACAAAATTTTGCTAGGGATTGTGGAAGGAGGAGATAAAACAAGGTCCAAAAGCAATAGCAATGGCACGAGGAATGCACTATCAACTCCCTTCATTCTCTAGCTATTTTGTGCAAATTCCAGCCTCAAAGAGCAAGCAGCAAAAGGTGCAAAACAAAGTGAAAAGCTCTGTTCAAAGAAAAACAAAAGCCTCCTAAATAAAGGTCAAGCTGGCATGATAACTTTTCCTCCATTTTAGATTTTTTTCCTAGTGGCATTCAAAACAACCGAGTACTAGCAAACCTTTGTGCAATACATTACCTTTAAATATGATCCATAGTATTTTGTTACATAAGGACTATCACACTGACTCAAAACAGTTATCTCTTGCTGTATATCCTCTATTTCATCTTCTGCTTCCTCAAGGTCTATGATTTTTATAGCAACCACTTGCTGTGTCCGATTATCAATTCCTTTAAAGACTTCACCAAAGGAGCCTTTCCCAATGCGTTCCAGTTTTGTGAATAGTTCTTCTGGGTCTGCTCTGTGGTTCTAGAAAAAAGAAATAATGAAGAAAAAATAAGATATACAAGCTACTTAATTTACTTCCAAGTGATTAGCCCTCATTACTTCCCAAGAAGCACATCATTCAGATTTTTCATCACTAGAAGTCCCGCACCAAATAAATTTATTTCCTACATGCTAACTTCTAACTCAGCTATTAGTTACAGAACATACATTATGCAATTATGTCAAAGGTAGATGAGATCCACCAGGAAGGGAGTTGGGTACAAAGCTCATTTCACTTCCCCACATAACCACCCTTTAAAAGGAAAGAACAGAGCTGTTCTTAATATTAATCCTATCTGTGCAGTAATCCAGAAGACTGGGGAATGCAATTACTGGCACAGAAGCACTAGCACCATCACCCAGGCAGAAACAGTTGGACTTTCTACCTGGCCAACAGCCTTGGGCAGACAAGCAATCCATCAAGTAACTACCTGTGAGAGGACTGCACTACCTGGTATTCAGCAGCGGATTCTAAAATCTGGTAAGATCGGGCATCTTCAGGGCAGCTAAAAGTGCTGACAGAAAGTAGAGCAAAAGGGACAGAGATGTTCGAAGAAGAAATAAGACACAGGAGCAGGGTACTGAACCTGAGGTACTGTTCAGAACTGGCTGGTATCACCCAAGCATGCTTTCAAAAGGAGAGCAGGGCACCAGACAGCAGAGCACTGCTGAGGATACCTGGCTTGGAGCCTCTGTTGATGAACTACTCTAAGATCAGCAGACTGATTATTATACAAAGATTTTCAATTTCTCAGCTCCATGCAAGTAGTCACAAAGAAAACAAAAAGGAAGCAAATTCTCATTTTCCCTTGAAGGTAAAGCATGCTACGTAGCTGCTTAGAGAACACTGTGTATCCAAAAACCACAGCATCTGAAGGATATGGATGACTTGCTCCACAGTTTAAGAACACAGAACTTCAGACCGTAATAAGGAAGGTTGTAGAAAGATGTTTTAAAAAGGTAAGACAGACATGCTAAGAGACTAGCCTATGCTCTGCAGAACAACAGAATTAAACACATTATTGCTGTCAGAACTGGGCAAATCACTGTACAAAACAATCTTTGCTCAAGAAACATCTGCCCTGCCCAAAAAAAAGCCTTCTAATTCAATAGCAACATTTGACAATCTGAAAGAGATGCTTTGCTTTAGATCTTTCTCGTACTCCAAAACTCAGAACCAGCAAAAGAAGTGACAGTTTTGGCAAAAGCAGACATTTAAGGCACAGATTACCCTACATAGCAAAATACTCAAATATCAACATGAAACTCCAGAAAACATCTTTATGCTGGTGTTCCTGCAAATAGTGCAAAAATCTTTACTGGGGAAAAAAAATACATTACTTTAACCTAGTCCAAAATGGACAATCTTATTTCCTTACTGGGCTCTTATTGTCACTACTTCCCTTCTACCAGAATTTATTCCACAATGTGGTAAAATGAATCAGGAAACAGATTTAGCTAAGAGTTAACCATATGATTTGTCAGGTTTATTTTCAGCAGAATCAGTTCACTGTTCATATATACCAAGCTGTCATTCGTGCTATCACAAGAGAAGGGAACATGTAGTATGGCAGATTCATGCTGATCTGTGGAGTCAGATTTTCAGATTTTGCAAATAACACAAGATGTGCTGGTGTTCCTGAGCAGCATATTAAAGCAACAAGAATGAGGAATTTCACCTTTATCTATCTTACCCTGCTCCATTAAAAGCAAGCAAAACCAAACAAAGAAACCACACCACCTTCAGAGAAATAACCAAGCAAAAAATTTTTTATTTTTTTTCTGTCAATAAGTCCAGTGAGAGACATAAAAGATGAACAAATACATAACCAAAGCAAATTAAAAAAGACAGGATAAGTACTATTTTGATCCAAAATCTGGGACAACTAATGATTATACTGGGAAATAAAATTATTGTAGGCCTCAAGTGCTCATAAACCTTTTAGTTAAGACAAAAAAACCCAGGAAATCTCCAAACTGCCCAAAGATAGCCATACTGCCATACACTATTGCATCAGCTCCTGCCATCTTCTCATTGTTGTGAAGAAAAATTTTAAGAAGTTATTTTTAAAAACCCTGAATTTAAAAAACTATTTTCAGATGTGTTTCAAAAATATGTTGTAGGGACAGGTATGTCAAATGCACAGCAACTGCTACCCAGTCTTTCCCTGCTGCTAAATAAACTGCAGAACTGTCATTTAGCTAGCAACCTAACCTGTTCCTAAACTACAACATTAGTTGCAATAAGGAATAACTAACTGATAGTTCACCATTTACAACAAAGCCACACACTCCCTCTAAGAAACACCAGAGTTAAGAGAGAGGATTAGCAAAACTTGCCATTAACTCTAAAATACTCATCTTCAGAAATACTAGCATCATTTTGAGACATGCTTGGAGCCTGGGATTCTGGGAACCATTCATGCTAACTGATAGCCATTGACTTGAGAGGAAATCTCTTAAACACTTCCAGGCAGATAAAAAAATGAATTTAATCACAGACAAAGTCAGCTAATCCAACCCTTCACAAATGTTTGATGAACTCAAAGGGCAACACTTGGGTTTTGCTTGGGGAGAAACCTTAAGCAGAAAATTCCTCTGAGGCTCCTCAGTGGAAATGCACATCCATCCTACACACCCACTAACGGTCACCAACACAACAAGCCAGGCCTCCAAACTCTCCCCCAAGCTATTTCAGGTGAATCAGAGTTTTAAAGTGTATTTTAACTTCCAACAACTCCTAACACCATTACGTGGGAGTGCTGGAGTATAAGGAGAGATCAGCATGGCTGGACCTCCTGACACCACAGAACTCTGTGTACTTCTCTGGGAGGGAAAGGTGGAACAGGGGCATCAGAGGAGAACAAACTGTGAGGGACTACTAGCGGAAAGAATCACATCTTTCTATTTTGAGAAAATCCTCTCACAGCAAGCAAAGTCAGCTTTACGGCTCCTGTTATTCACCAAGGCTGACAAGGGACTGTAGGACACTCTGGGTTAAGGGCAAACACTTCTGACCAACTATGGCTAATATTGAGATAATGTCCTTTGGAAAGGCTTCAAAATTACAACACTACATAACTTAAAATATGGCCTCAGAACAAAGACTACAATTTGAAACAGATTTGCTTTTACCTTTGTTAGTATCCTTGTCTTTCAGACTTTTGTTCTACAGGAATGTTTTTCTACAAATAATAATAATAAAAAAGAATCCCTAAACTTCAAAAGACTACTTTTTAAACGAAGGTAAACTTATATAATGCAGCAATGCCTATCCTCATCCCGGTATAGAAAAGAACAGAGATATATTTTATATAAATAAAAAGTGTGTATACATACCCCTAATATACCAATACACTTCTGCAACACAGCTGCCAGCTTCCTATATGGTAGAAATTGAGATTTCTAACACCATTAACACCTCTGAGCAAAATAAACAAATGTTATTCCCTGTCCTTTCACAGATCTTTAATTGAATGGGGAAAAGGCTTAAACCTTTGAAAGTTCCCTGCATGAGTAATTGTTGCTCGGCTGGTTTTGTTCGTTTGTTTAGGTTTTTTGGTTTTGTTTTTTAATAAGTACTGGTTTCCATGGGGAGACATGTCTGTTGGGCAGCGGATGGTAACAACACAATGGACAGTGTACGGACTTCATCACCTCTCTGAAGATACACCTGTAAGTGGACAAATCAGGAAGAGAATCTATTGCTCTTCTCCCTAAGCCCATTTCCACATACAAAAGCAGCAACAAGTATGAGAAGCACAGGCACATTCACATGCCACTTCAATCTAGCCAGCATGAGTAACAGTACCAGCACGAGTGTGACCATACCAGCCCTCTGTACAGCTCAGGAAGCCCACCATATTACCAGTCCAGCACCACTACACAGCCTGTGCCAGTGTTCAGTAAGATCTCTCCTCCTCTCTTATCCAGCCACGTGCCATCACTGTATGTGTTTATATGCACACGTATGTACACACACAGTCACAGGATCACAGCATAACTCACCTTGGAAGGGACCTCAGGCAGTCATCTAGTCCAACCACCTGCTCAGAAGCTCCAAATAAAAAACACTATAGCGTAACGCTTGCCAGCATACCTGCAGTAGTTGCATCAAGTATTCTGCCAATATGGCTTACTGGCAGAATATGTATTTTTTATTTATTCTGATAAACACAGCTAGGCAGCAACGTCCTGTCTGCATTCTGCTACAAGACTGACAGGCTGACACACCTTCCCACCTCTGACCCTTTCACATATCTGTTCTCCAAATTCTATGTTACTCTGCTGGAACAAAGTTAAAGCACACTGAATATCTAACTGCCAAGATTATACAGATATCTAATGACATACACCAAATTGGAAGAAACAATAGCTACGTCAGACTGCTTCAGAATCTGTCCATGCAGGACAGCTCTTTTACAGAAACAGGTCTTCTTAGAAGGCTTATTAATGAATTTCATTAAAGGCTGAGTATAACTGGATGACAAACCAAAGTGTCAAAGAATCTTGGACAGAAACTGAGCTAATGCCTTGTATCTAACAAAATCAAACCCACGATCCTCTAGGCCTATGACAGTAAATAATCTAACCATCTTATGAGATTTCTTCTAAGTAGTCTGTCAATGTGAGAACGTATATCCTGTTGTCTTTACAATATTTCTAAAACCTGACCCAGAAATACTGTTATACTACCTGGATTTTCAAGTGTCTCCCAGGCTTTATTTGGAACAGAAGTTCCCTTAAAATTGTAGCAGCACTACAGAGTAGCTCACCTACACTGGGAGACATTACTCAAATACACACTAGATAAAGATACAATAATTAGCTCAAAAGATTTTATAAAAGGTCAGTAAGAGACCAGAGTGTCTACTAGTATGTTTTCAACTATCCACTACTATGGTATCCTAACATGTACTGGTAACTACGGAAGCCATCAGAATTACCTGTGCATTTAAAAGACACTAATTTCCAGCAATTGC